TTTCTGTCACTCAGGCTGTGGATGCAAAGGTTAAACAGTGTTAGCAGTAGTCAGCTACAGGAGGATTTCTAAGTTGGGTGGGGATTGGGGTGGGTGGGGGTGTGCTCCAGCTTTGGGCTCCCACACTTTCTGTTCCTGTAACTCTGGGTTACAAAACTCAATTTCCTTGTCACCAGATCCATAGGAGAAACTGAACTTCGTTAAAGTGTACAATTTAATGTTTGGAATCTGTATGCACCTGTGAAACCATCACCACAATCAAGATAGCGAACAGATCAATCAACCCCAAAAGTTTCATTGTACCACTTAGCAATCCCTTCCTCTACTCTTTTTGTGCCTCCCCTCCCCTAGGCAATCATGGATCTGTTTTCTGTCACTATAGTTTGCATCTTCTAGAATTTTATAAAAATAGGATCATCCTCAGCCTGATTTCTTTGACTCAGCAGAATTATTTTGGGATTTATCCATATTGTAGTATATATCAATACAGCTGACCCTTGAACAACATGGGTATGAACTGCAATGTCCAGTTAAATGTCCAGTTAAATGAAGATTTTAAAAAATAAATACATATATGTGCTGTAAATGTATTTTATTTTCCTTATTGTTTTCTTAATAACATTTTCTTTTCTCTAGCTTACTTATTTCTAAGAATACAGTATATAATACATATAGAAAATATGTGTTGGGGAATTCTCTGGCAGTCCAATGTTAAGACACTGTGCTTCCACTTCAGGGGGCACGGGTTCAATCCCCGGTTGGGGAACTAGGATTCTGCAAGCCACGTGGTGCGGCCAAACCAAAAAAAAAGTGTGTGTGTGTGTGTGTGTGTGTGTGTGTGTGTTAATCGACTGTTTTTGTTACCTGTTAAGACTTCCAGTCAACAGTAGGATATTAGTAGTCAAGTTTTGGGGCAGTCAAAAGTTATATTCGGATTTTGACTGTATAGGGGAATCGGCATCCCTAACCCTTGCGTTGTTCAAGGGTCAACTGTAGTTTATTCCTTGTTTGATTTATTTTTAAATTAACATACAGTTTTTTAAAAAAACTTTTTTGTGTGAACAGTTCTATGAATTTTAACATGGGTATATTTGAGTAACCAACACCACAGAATCAGAATACAGAACAAAAAAATCCTTGATGCTATCTCCAACTCTTCTGCCCCTAACCTCTGGGAACTAATGATCTGATCTCCATCAACATAGTTTTGTCTTTTCGAGAATGTCATATTAATGGAATCAGGCAGCACATAGCTTTTTGAGATCAGCTTCTTTTACTCAGCATGATGACTAAGAAATTCACCCAAATCGTGTGTTCATTTCTCTCTCTTCTTTCTCCCTTCTTCCCTCCCTCTTCCTTCCCTTCCTTCCTTCCTTCCTCCCTCCCTTCTTTCCTTTTTTTTTTTTGAAGAGTAGTATTTCATTGAACGGATGCATGAGTTTATCCATTCACTTGTTGCATATTTGAGTTGCTTCCAGTATTTCACAATTATAAATAGAGCTGCTATAAACATTTGTGTACAGGTATTTGTGTGAACACACATCTTCATTTATCTAGGATAAACACCTAAAAGTAGGATCGCTGCATGATATAATAAATGAATGATTAACTTCATAAGAAACTGCCAAATTGTTTTCTAAAGTGGCTACATTATTTTGTATTTCCATCTGCAACGTATGAGAATTCCAGTTGCTCCACCTCCTCACCAACACTTGGTCTTGCCAATATTTTTTATTTTAACCATTCTAATAGAAGTGTAGTGATAGCTCATCATAGTTTTAATTTGCATTTGCCTATTAATGACGCTGAAACAGTTTCATTTGATGTTATTGATATATTATTGCTTAAGTCTGCCACTTCATTTTTTTGTTCATTTTCTGTTTGTTCTCTCATTTCTTTATTTTCTTGTCTCTGCCTTTTGAGTTCTTTATATATTTTAGATATGTCTTATCCAATATAGGATTTCAAATATTTTCAAATCTATGGCTTAACTTTTCATTTTCTTGATGATGTCTTTTGAAAATCAAAAGTTTTACATTTTGAAGTCTAACTTGTCAATTTTTCATTTATGGGTTGTGCTTTTGGTATTGTAGCTCAGAAATCTTTGCTTAATCCAAGGTCACAAAGATATTCTCCTATATTTACTCCTAAACATTTTATAACTTTAGTTCTTACAATTATGTCTGTGATCCATTTTGAGTTAATTTTTGAGTGTTATATGAGGTTATTATGTAACTTCTTCTTCATGCACATAGATATTCAATTGTCCTAGCACCATTTGTTGAAAATACAATTGAATTGTCCTGGCACCTTTATTAAAAATGAATTGACTATAAGTGTAAGGGTTTGTTTTAGTACTCTCAATTCTGTTCCAAATATATATATGTATAAATTTGGATACACATATATACTTATCTTTTGTCAATACCACACTATTTTGATTACAGTAGCATTATAGTAAGTTTTTAAATTTTTATTATTTTTCATTAAGTTATATTTGAAACACAAGATTGTGTCAGTTTAAGGTGTGCAATATTTTGGTTTGATACATTTATATTGCAATATAATTGTCATAGGAGCAGTTATTGTTTTGATGCTATTGTGAATAAGATAGTTTTATTTCTTTCTCAGATGGTCTCATTGTTAGTGTGTAGAAAAGCAACTGATTTTTTTTAATTAAAAAAAATATTTATTTATTTTGGCTGTGCCAAGTCTTAGTTGTGGCACCCGCAATCTTCGTTGTGGCATGCGGGATCTTTAGCTGCAGCATGCGGACTTCTTAGTTGCAGCACGCGGACTACTTAGTTGAGGCACGCAAACTCTTAGTTGCATGCATGTGGATCTAGTTCCCCGACCAGGGATCAAACCCAGGCCCCCTGCACTGGGAGCACAGAGTCTTACCCACTGGACCACTAGGGAAGTCCCAGAAAAGCAACTTCTGTATTGATTTTATTTCCCACAACTTTACTAAATTCATTGATTAGGTCCAATAGTTTTTTAAGTTGAGTCTTGGGGATTTTCAATATATAAGATCATATAATCAGCAAATACAATAATCTTACTTCTTCCTTTCCAGTTTGGATGCCTTTTATTTCTTTGTTTTGCCCGACTGCTCTAGTTAGTACTTAGAGTACTATGTTGAATAAGAGTGGTGAGAGTGGGCCCGCTTATCTTGTTCCTTATCTTAAAGGAAAAGCTTTCCATTTTTCTCCATTAATTATGTTAGCTGTGGGTTTGTTGTATATGGCCTTTATTACATTGAGTTGTGTCCCTTCTATTCCCAGTCTATTGAGGGTTTTTATCCTGAAGGGATGTTGCAGTTTGTCAAATGCCTTTTCTGCATCTATTGAGATGATCATATGATTCTTTCTTTCATTCTATTAATGTGGTATATCACATTTATTGATTTACATTTGTTGAACCATCCTTGTATCCCAGGGATAAATCCTACTTGGCCATGGTATATAATCTTTCTAATAAGTTCTTCAACTCAGTTTGCTAATGTTTTGTTGAGAATTTTTGCATCTATGGTCACCAGGGATATTCGTTTATAATTTTCTTTTCTTGTAGTATGCTTACCTGGCTTTGGTATCAGGGTAATTCTGGCCTCATAGAATGAGTTTGGGAGTGTTCCCTCCCCTTCCATTTTTGAGAAGAGTTGGGGAAGCATTGGCATTAATTCTTCTTTAGATGTCTGGTAGAATTCTCCTGTGAAGCCATCTTGCCCTCAAGTTTTCTGTATTGGGAGGTTTTTGATTACTGGTTCAACTTCCTTATTTATTATTGGCCTGTTCAGACTTGCTATTTCTTCCTGGTCAGTCTTGCTAGGTCGTATGATTCTAAGAAATTATTCCTTTCTTCTAGGTTATCTAATTTATTGGTGTATAACTGTTCATAGTAGTCTCTTATGATCTTATGTGTTTCTGTAGTGTCAGTTATTATCTCTCCTCTTTCATTTTTTGAGTCTTTTCTCTTTTTTTCTACTAGTCTCAATAAAGATTTGTCAATTGTTTATCTTTTTAAAAAAGCAGCTCTTAGTTTCATTGATCTTTACTATTGTTTTTCTGGTCTATATTTCAATTTTTTCTACTCTGATCTTCATTATTTCCTTCCTTCTGCTAACTTTGGGCTTAATTTGTTCTTCTTTTTCTAGTTCCTTGAAGTAAAAGGCTGGGTTTTTATTTGCAATCTTTCTAATTTCTTAATGTAAGCATTTATCACTATAAACTTCCCTCTCAGAACTGCTTTTGCAGTGTTCCATAGGTTTTGGTAAGTTGTGTTTCTATTTTCATTCGTTCTGAGATATTCTTTGATTTCTCTTTTGATTTCTTCTCTGACCCATTGGTTGTTCAGGAATGAGCTGTTTAGTTTCCACAATTTTTAGAGTCTCCAGCTTTCCTCATGTTGCTGATTTCTAGTTTCATACCACTGTGATCAAAAAGATACTTGGTATGATTTCAATCTTCTTAAATTTGCTAAGACTTGTTTTATGTCCTACCATATGATCTTTCCTTGAGAATGTTCCATGTGTACTTGAAAAGATAGGTCAAAACAAACAACCACAATTCCTTGAGAACAGGGCCCATTCTGCTCCCTCTGGTACTGAGAACCTAAACTGGGAATTCAGGCTGTTATCTTCAAGGCTCTCACCAAGCTGGGGAGAGGGGAATGGGTAAGTTAAAACACCACAAAATTCTCCTACCAAGATTCAGCGTTTTGTTTTGTTTTTCTTGATTAAGCATTTCTCTGGTTGCTGTAATATTTTGATAAGTATCCAGCGTTCCAATAACATTGATTCTGACAGTTTTTGCCAGTTTCTCTGCTGCTTTTGTGTAGAGATAGGCTTTTGGAATTCCCTACTCCTCCATTTTTGCTGACACTACTCCTAGACCATTTACACTTAATGTAATTACTGATATGGTTGGATTTATGTCTAGGGATTTTATTATTTATTTTCTGTTTTCTCTCCCCTTTATCCTGAGTATATTTGGATTGTTTGAACATTTTTTTTTAGCATTCCATTTAAATGCATGTGTTGTGTTTGTAATTACCTCTTTTTTTTAGTGATTGCTCTAGGAATTACAATACAATATACATATTTCCTTTTCAGGTCTGCTTAGAATAGACATTTTACCATTTTAAACAGAATGTAAAAACTTACCATCATGTAGGTTCCTTTATTCTCCCCTCCTTCTGTTGTAGTTTTAATATATTACATATACATACATTGAAAACACCATCAGAAAATATTATAATTTTTGTTTTAAACATAAAACATTTTTTAAAGAACTCAAGAGCAAAAGAGTAGAATGTTAAATTAACCCAGATTTTACCATTCTGTTGTTCTTCCTTCATTCCTGATACTCCAAGTTAACTTCTGGAATCATTTCCCTTCTGTCTGAAGACATTTTTTTGGAAATTATTTTAGAACAGGTCTTCTGTCAAGGAATTCTCTTAGATTTCCTTCATCTGAAAATGTTTTTATTTCACCTTTACTCCTGAAGGGTATTTTTACTGGATACAGAATTGTATCCAATTCTGGGTTGATAGTTCTTTTACTCTTGTACTTTAAAGATGTGATCCACTTCCTTCTGGTTTCCACAATGCAATTTTTTTTTCTGGCAGATATAAATAAAGTGAAATATGCACTTATATATATTAAAATATATACATCTTTTAATATAGTCACATAACATAAATACATGTAATATATAATGAAATATATAGTGAAATACACACATACAGGTGTGTATGTGTGTGTGTGTATGTATCTTCAGTTTTCAACAGTTTCATTATGATACATATGGGCATGAATTTCTTTGGTTTATCCTGTTTGGGGCTTGCTGAGATTTTGAATCTGTAGGTTTATGTCCTTTGCCAAATTTGGGAAGTTTTCAGTCATTATGTCTTCAAATTTTTTGTCTTCACTGCACTCTTTCTCCTCTCTTTATGGAACTCCAATGACATGAATGTTAGACTTTCTGGTATTGTCTTTGAGGTTCTATTCATTTTTTTAAAAAATCTTTTTCTTACTGTTACTCAGATTGGATAATTTGTACTGGCCTATCTTCAAGTTTACTTACTTACTGACTCCTCTGTCATCTCTGTTCTGCTCTTGAGCTTATCTAGTGAGTATTTGATTTTGGCTCTTATATTTTTAAGTTCTAAAATTTTAGTTTCTCTATCTTTTATTTATTTGTTAAGACTTTCTATCTTTCCATTTATTTCAAGAGTGTTAGCCTTTACCTTTTAGAGCATTTTCATTATAGCACTTTAAAATCTTTGCCATTTAATTTCAGTACCTCACTGTTGGCCTTTTTTGATCATATTTTACCATGTAAGTTGAGATTTTCCTGGATCTTTGTATGCCAAATAATTTTGTTTTGAATGCTGGACATTTGAATTTTATGAGACTCTGGATCCTGTTTGAATACTATGGAGAATGTTGACATTTATATTTTAGCAGGCAATTGACTCTATTGGGCTCAGGCCACAAATTCTGACCAGCCTACTGTGGATTGTGGTTTCAATGTTAGTTCCATTTTCAAAGCCTTTTCAGTGCTGTTTAGATCTGTCCTGTATGTGCACCCTCCAGTGGTCAGTGTGAGAACAGACAGTGGTTTATTCTTTAGTTTAGTTCTGAAGTCTTTGGTGTGCTGCTTAGGATCAAATCCATGCATGCTCATCTTGGGGGTGAGCCCAGGTGTTCATAAACAACTTTATGGAGTCAGTTTCTTGAGTGCTGCCTTCTCCACAATCTCTTTGGTACTTTTAGGTTCTCTAGGGCTCCTCTTTTTGGTTCTCTAGCCAAAAACCTGGAGTTTCAGTTACTTTGCTTTGTTGTGTACGTCCTGCATCCAGGGCTAAGTGGTAAAAGGATGGAGAAAGAGAAAGAGAGCAAATGAAAGAGGAGAGCAGTTAGATTTGTCCCGATCTCTTGATACACCTCCAATCAGAACAAAGGTTTCTCTCCCTCAGAGTTTTAGGCGCCTGAAAGCCTCAGACTGCAGCAGGAATGTTAGGGGGCTGGGGCATGAGAGAATGGAGAAAAAAATTTAAAGGGGTATTTCCTCACTCTCTCTGAGCATTAGGAGTTCCTTTCCCATTCTTCAAACCAGAACAAGAAGGGTTCTCCTAGAGTTTTCACTGTCTGTGGTCCAGTTACCCACTTTCAGGTTTCAGGATGCTTTGAGTCTGGCCCAGGGAATACTGGAGGGAAAATGGAAAACTCACCCCTAGTCCAATGGTACTCCAAATTCTGCTTTTCTTCCCCAATTCACCTGCTATTATTTACTCTTGAAAGTCTTCCATGCATTTTGTCTAGGTTTTAATGTTGCATTCACTGGGAGAGACAGGGAGGAGGATATTTACTCTATGTTACCTAGTTCACTCCTTTTTACTGCCAAGTGGTATTCCACTGTATAAATATGCTACAATCTATTTATCCATTCTCTTATTAATGGTCATTTTTGTTGTTTCCAGTTTCTGTCTTTTTTACAAATTAAGCAGCAATAAACATTCACGTACAAGTCTTTGCGTGAACACATACTTTCATTTATTTTGCATACATACCTAGGAATGGAAAGCCTAGGTTATATGGTAGGTGTATATTTAACTTTCTAGGAAAATGCCAAAATGTTTTCCAAAGTAGTTGTATCATTTTACATTCTGTCAGCAGCTTAGGAGCATTCCAGCTGCTCCATATCATTACCAGTACTTGGCGTAGTCTTTTTCATTTAGTCTTCTTAGTGGATGTGTAGTGGTATTTCATTGTGGTTTCAGTTTGCATGTCCTTAATGACTACTGATGTTGAGCATCTTTTCATGTGCTTATCTGCCATATGCATATCTTCTTTGGTGAAATACCCATTCAAATCTTCTGGCCATTAAAAAATGTGTTGTCTTCTTATAATTGAGCTTTAAGCCTTCTTTATATATTCTATATACAAGTCAATTTATCAGACATATGATTTGCAAATATTTTCTCTCATTCTTCAGCTCTGTTTGGCTTCCGCTCCATACTCTACCTGGATCCACTCCCTGTTATTTCCATTGATACCACCACCACCCTGGTTCATCTCCCCTGGATCATCCTCCTACTCTGGCCTCCCCATGGTCTTCTTGCTTCCACACTTGCAGAAAGGCTTGGACTAGACCACAGTCCAATCGGCAAACAGCAGCTAGTGAGCATTTAAAAATGCACACTGAATCATTTCACCTCCATACATAACATCATACAAAGGCTCTCCATTCCCTTGGCATACGCTCAAGCCCCAAATGCCCCACATTATCTGACCAATGCCTATCTTACCGGCCGCACCTTCTATCATTCTCCCCCGCTTGGCTGCCATGCTGCAGTCACAAGAATCTTTTTCCTTAAACACACTGAGTTTGTTCTCTTCCCAAGACCTTTGCACTAGCTATTCCCTCTGCCTGGAGTGCTCTTCACTGTTTTGCACACTGCTGCCCCTTCTGTCATTTAGAAAGTTTAAATATCATCCCTTTAGACAGATATTCTTTTTTTTTTTTTAAGACAGATATTCTTTGAACACAAAATCTAAAGTTGCTGCTTCCATACTGTCTATGACATCATGCTATTTTATTTCTCTGCAGAATACTTATCACAGTATGACACTCTCCTTGTTGTTTGTTGCCTGCCTTCACTAGAATATGAGTTTCATGACAGCAGGGACTTCATCTTATTCATTTCTATATCCCTAGTGTCTAGAGCCATGCCTGGCACATAGTATAGGCTCAATAAACTCTTGTTGAATGTCTGTGCCCATAGCACCTACCTCTGTGCCTGTCACCTGGCTAGAAAGTAAATGTTTGTTGTCTGAATTTGTCAAGTAATCCATCCCCGTGGCACCAATGATCAAAAGTATCCCTGGGCTAGAAGAGGGAGAGAAAAGACACATGTGCAGGAAAAGGACAAGAGAAAAATTGCAGAGAAGCTTGAGAGAAGATCAATTCCTCTAGAAGTGTTTTGGGAGCTTTGTGACAGAGTTGTCATGTCCCTGGCTCTGGTGTGGGCTCCCACCCAAGGGACAGCCCTACTTTGGTTGCTAGGGCTGTTAGGCCCACACAGAATGCACACGAGGTAATGGTGTACTTCGTAGGCACAGCCCAGAAGGCCTTCCCAAGGCTTGCTTGTCAAAGGAAATTAGACCCTTTTGACCTAATCCAATGTTCACTCTGCTCCTGTGCTTCCGGGGGGCTGCAAGTTGATTTTCCCATCCCACAATCCTCAGCACGGTGGGCCAGCCCTCCCACGAATGGGTGATAGCTCACTGCTCCCAGGGCCCTCACCCCCTCTCGGGCCATGTGGCACCAGGCCTGCTGGCCGAGCTGGCACCTAGGGTGCGTACGCAGTTTTAGCACACAGCATCCGTTTCTTCTCTTCAAGGATCCTCCTATAGGCCTCATCTCTCCCTGAGAGCCTGGTAGTTGAGTGCTCTGAGGAGTCTCTGTGAGGAGCTTACATTGTCCTGCTGCATCAAGATGGCTGCTAAGGTCACACCTGGGCCACGGTGAGGAACTACTCTCCTGAGCACAAGGCCCTCCCTAGGGCCTGTCTCAAAGAGAACAGCAGACACCTACACTGTTTTGGCCTGGGAAACAAGTTTCCTGGGGCTCAAGACTGCTGCCTGGGCTCCGAGGAGACAGGTGAGGCCTCACTGTAACCAAGAGTCACGATGTAAACAAACTCCCAGAAGCCTCTTATCTGAGGTGGGGACTCCAGGTGCCAGGGCTATGGGAGAGCACGACTTGTCGGGGAAAGCCACCTTCTTTTTTAGTGGCAGAAACTTCTGGGAAGTGGCTGCCCAGGGTGTGGCCCTGTTTGTGGACTTTCTGGCTCAGAGATAGGGGGACTGAGGTGGCCATGTGGGGTTCTCTCACTCCTCTGTCCGCTGGGCATCTCACTGCACGTCAAATTGGCCCCTGTGTTCGAGGCACTGGCCTGGGGCTCAGGAGGGGAATGAGTCAGATAAGGTTTGAATCTGAGAAGCCAGGCAGCTGCTCATGGGCTCTCTGATTCTTGTTCTCTGACATGTCCCCCCTGTCTCCATTCTCAGCCTGGATTGGACAGTTGGGGTAGGAATTCTGTCTGGGGATGACTCTTCTTTTTAGAATGCCTAAGGCACTGTCCCCTCACAAGCCTATCCCTTGGCCCTCAGTCCCAGGACAAATCCCTCTAGGGACCAGGGGGGTTGCTCTGGGAGAACCTGATGGGGCTCCTGAGCCCACCTGAGGAGATGTGTGCTCTGTCTAGGATGCAGGCCTTCTTGGGCCATGACACCAGGGGAGAGGACAGGGTCCTCTTTCTCTCGCCTCCCCCAGCAGTCACCTTAGTAAACCCCAACTCTCCCTTTTCTTGGAGTCTGCTAAAGGTTACAGACCAGGAAGCAGGTGCTTTGTTTACCAGGTGGCACCCGCCTATCTACCTTAGCCAAAGTCCATCCTCAATTCCTGCTCCCACCCTTTGAGCCAGTATTGTCCATGCACGCTTTTCTCTTCCCTAGACCCTGAGGAGGGTGCTATCCAGCAGGGGGCACTGCTGCCACAGGGTCAGAGCTTCCAGAGGGCTGGGGCTTGGGAGCAGAACTGCTAATCCTCTAGCAGGTGGACATGGGGGTGGACTCTGGTCCTGCTGGATAGCAGAGGGATGATGAATTGATAGACACACCCCATCCAGCAGTGAGGCGTCCTCATCCGGCCTTCCTTACCTGCTGTACCCACACGCAGGGTCCAAAGGGCAGGGCCGAGCAGTGCTGGTATGTTGTTTCTGGTTCTGGCTGTGATCACCAGCGACCTGGGCATTCCTGGGGCAAACTGTGAGTTTTGACCTCCTGCCCTACTCTTTAGCTCAATGCCCTCAGTTCCCCAGACTCACAACCTAAGACCAAAGCAAAGGCCCCTTAGGCAGAGTGGGGGTTTCCCTACACTTCTCCCAGAATGGGGAACCTAGGTAAGGACTGAGAAGGATCTTGCTCCAACCCATCTCACATCCTGACCATCCACGGATCCTGCTCTCAACCAGGCCCACTTCTCTCTATCCCCTATGGCCAGAGCCCTAAGCCACAGGGAGCTACCTGAGCTGCCTCCTATCCAGTGTGCAGCAGGGTACCAGACTAAGGTGATGCAAGCAGGGGCCTATGGTACAACATTTAAGGAGGCACTCACTCTCATGGTCATGCAAGAACAGAGGTGCATGAGTGCCTCCTCCACAGAAAGTTTTCTAAAGCACAGGTCAGACTCCCTGTTACCCTCACAGGGCCTGGCCTAGAGTTTACTTCAACAAACATCTGATGACAGACCTTGGTTCTCCAGAAGGAGAGAAACCATGGCTCTCACCCCACAGAGCCCTGTCTGCCAGGATCAAGTCCATACTCCTGAGGAGCATTCAAGCTTCTTCACAGTGTGGCCCCTGTTGGCTGGTCCAGCCTCAGTCCCTAAAGCAGCCATACAAGGCCACACCACAGTGTAGGATCTGTCCTGTACTTCTGAGCCTCCAGGCTTTTGCTTGGGCTGCTCCTACATCCTAAACACCCTCTCCCACTGCTGACTCATCATCCTTCAAGGCCCTGCTGAATGCCAGCTCCTCAGAGTGGCTATCTGTGACACCGTCTGAGATAAATTGCTCCTGTCCCCACACCCCAGCATTGCTGCTCCTTCGCCTCACACTCCAGGTAGGACATACACCTGTCATCCTGTAATCAAGTACACTTACTAAGTGCCTACTGTTTGCACGGGTTGTGCTGGGTGCCAGGGAAATGGCTCTGAGTGTAATAACCACATCTCTTGTCCTTGGAGAGTTCACATCCAGCTTAGTGGTGGGGACCGTGCCTACTCACTTCTAAGTCCCCCTGCATGGCTGGCAAAGGCACAGGCCTGAGCAACATTCTGTGACCATCAGATGCCCCTAAGTCTTCAGCCTTCTGGAGTTACCACTCCACTAAAAACAAAGTAATACATGTATGCTCCAGCCCATGAGGCTGTGGGAAGCCTTCTCCAATGTTCTTGAGGGTTCTCGAGGAAGGGAGACTAGCTTTTGTTTCCTGGGGGTGGCCAGTCACCTGAAGCCTCCTGGCTCAGAGCTCCTTCTCCCAGCAAACCCTGGTCCATTTTGCCCCCCAGTATGGACCCAGTCCACTGAAATACTCCCAGAGCAGCATTTCACATTGGCTATCTGACATGGTGACATGCTCATTATAGTCTCTCACTTGCCAAACTGGAGGGCAGACAGTCATGCTCTCCCTGGACTAGCCAGGCAGGTGGGTCTCTGCTGACCTTTCATCCCTCCTCCCAGTCAGTCAGTCAGCCAACAGATACTTCCTGAGGACTTACTCATGCAGAGAAAGGACTGGAACCTCTCACACCTGGCTGAGGTTCTATCTAAATTGAGGCCCTTTGTGGACCTACCTTCCAGGAGAGGAAGAGAGACCCTACCTGATGTTAACAGCTCCTTCCCCTTGTTAAGTGGTTGGCTGGCCCTTGTCACTAGACTCCCAGTCTCCCTGCAGGACCAGGAGAGGACACACATGTGAACAGGGCGATGGGAAAGAGAGCAAAGATCCCCTTGGAAGGAAAGAACCAGACAGAAATGACCACAGTGCTACTCAGGGAAGCCATGTCCCTCCCTTCCTCCCTCCCTTTGGGGGCATCCATGAGTCTCTGTGAAAACTGTCTGTTGCCAAGACCATCTCAGGGAAAACGTGCATGCTGCTGAGACAATCTGAAACCATCGTCCATCTATCCATCCCCATCCATGCCACACTGGTTCATAGGGCACCTGCTGTGCTCAGCCAAGGCTGGATCTGGAGGCTACAGCAGTGAACAGGACAGAACACCCACTGGACCAACCCCTTCTTCTCTTGCCTCTTGCCCTGCTTTCCTTCTATGAATGTTCCTATAACTCAGCACTTGCTGAGTCCAAGCTACAAAAACATACTCCTGTTGATATTTTCTAGCTTAAGCTACATCTACTGTTTCTAAAATATGACCTCAAATGGAGCCCAACACAGACACTCTGAAGATCAGGTCCTCCACCAAGTCCAATTTATGGGCTAGGATCAGGGTTGGGTTCTCTGCCTCAAAGATACTATTTGGACTAGGCAGAGGAACAGCATCAGTGGGTCCAGACTTGAGCCCAGGAGAAGGAGAGGACAAGACCCTATTTGGTCTGGGACTGCTGCCATGGTCCCTGGACCCCTTAGGGGTGCCCCCTCACTGTCTTAAGCCTTATTTCCAGGGCAGCCCCTGGAGTCGGGATTCCCAGGCTGAGTCACCAGGGTCACCAGGGGCTGTGCTCATAGCACACGCTCCACTCTTGCAGCATTTGGAGTTTCCCTGGCCCTCTCCCAGGCCAACCACCCAGATCTTGAGCCTGGACCAGAGGAAATCAATGCTGGACTGGACAAGGAATGCTTAAGCGTCTGTCTGCCCCTCCACTGGCTAACTGGCTGCCTCCAGAGTGACCACCACTGCTAGCTGCCCCACCCTCAGCTCCTCTGGACTGAGGGAGCTCTACTTGTTCGATGTTTCTTTCCAAGAGCCATGTTCTTCAGGCTGTAAGTAAGGAGATCCCTACGTAGGAGCTCAAAAGCAAGAATTTGGGAAATATGGGCTTGCAGGCAGCCCTGCTCACCTTAACAGCAGCTATTACTGTGGTCTGAAGAGGTCAGGGAGGGTAGGGTGCTGGACTCTGCCTCACCATCCCAAACTCCCAGCCTCCCTGGCTCAGATCCAGGCCCAACCCACAATCATCCCTGGCCTGAGCTGCAAGCCCTGGGGAGGGAAGGAAGTGGCCGACCCCACAGCCAGCATTCCTCTGTGATGACGCCAGTCTGCTCACTGCCCAACCACCCCATCTGGAGGGCAGTTCTCAGGGAGCCACAGGGGACTCCCTCCCAAAGAGGCTAAGGCCTCTCTTACAGAGGGGGGCCACCTTTGGCTGGGGGCATCAGCATGACCTGACTGGGCTAGGGGCCAAGAAGAGATGGGCCCAGAGGTCCCCTGGGAGCAGGTCAGAAGGCCACAAGACCCACCCTAAATACCTCTAACTCACTCCATTTCTTCATTCATTCAATAAGCACTCACTGAGACCCTCCTTGTGTTAGCCCCATTCGAGGCCCGAAGGACCCAGCAGGCTGGACTAGGCAGGCAGGCCCGCATCTCAAGGGGCTCCAAGACAGGTAGGAGGAATCCTCCAACAAATAAAATACACAAAAAGGATAAGTTCAGCAATGGTAAGAGCTATGAAGACAATAAATCAGGATGTGACCGCGACAGCGAGTGGTACAGTTGGGGACCTCAGCCATTGGAGGGTGGCCTCCACATTCCTCAGACACTTCTTCCTGCCCACAGTGCCCTCCTCCCATGCAAGTATAGCTCCCTCATCCGCACCCCACCACGCCCCCTTCTGAAGGAACGCCACCCGGGAGGGGGCTGGGGGCAGGTGCATTCGGGTGGGGCTTTTCCGAGGCCGGTTTTCCCCCGCTCCCGCTGGAACTTCCAGAGGGCCACGGACCCGCGACACTGGACGCCCGCCCGTCGCCCTCCTCCTCCCCCATCCGCAGCCTGCGAACCTCTGCGCTCCCGGCTTGGTTCCCGGAAACTCCTCGATTTCCCTGTCGCCTCGGCGTTTGCAAGAAACCGAAACCCAGGCCCCGCCCCCCGCGCCGGCTAGGGGCTGAAGGACTGGGGTCTGGGGCCTGCGTGAGGGGCCGCATCCGAACTGGGCGGCCGGAGCGGCCCTTCCCCCACCGGCAGGGCCGAGGCGGAGGTGGGGAGCCCTCTGAGTGCCTGGGCTCGGCTCGGCGCCCACCCCCCGCGGGCATCGTCCCCAGCGGCCCAGCACCACCCGCGCCTCCCACAGGAAAGCTGCAAGTCTAACCCGAACGCTCTGGCTGCATCGGATGGCGGAGTGCCCAGCGAGGGAGGGGACGCAGTGCGGCCTCCCCTGCAGCAATGTAGAGGTGGGCGCCATTTCTGTGCGCCTACTGTGTGTCCGCCAAACCAGGGAAGGGGCGGAGGCGCATTTACAAAGAGCTCTGCACCCCGAGTGTGGCTAGCTTCATCTTGTGAGGGCGGGTACAGAGAAGTTTAGCAACTTGCCCGAGGTCACAAAGTCTGTAGCTGTAGAGCTGGCTGCAAACCTGTGGGCCGCAGCCAGAGGCTGGGCAGAGAAGGAGGAGGAAGTGCTCCGGCAGGCTGCCGGCAGGTGAGCCGCCTGGCACGGGCGGGGCAGCCAGCTGGGGAGGGGGAGGGGCGGTCCCAGGCAGCCACCCGGGCCGCAGGAGTGGAGGCTTTGCTTTCTCCCTCCCTCCCTCCCTTTCCAGGAAGCCGGCCAGCCCGGAGCCGGCTGCTCACCCCAATTCACCCCCAACCGGGGCCGAGCAGGAATGTGGAAGTTGGCCGGAAGGGCTTGGGCCCCCTCCCCTCCAAACACACACCCATCTCAAGCCCGGTCAGCGCGAGCGTGGGTCACCTGGCGGTGAAGGGGACTCGTGATCGGGACTCGATTACCCAGGTTGAAGTAGGGGTGCTGCTGCCCCCATAAAGGCCAAGAAGCCTGCCAAAGACGCTGGCCGTGGTGCAAGACCCATTTGCGTGGGGGAGGAGGGTGCTGCTCCCATCCAGCCCCACTCCGGGTCGCGGCCGCCGGGCCTGGCCACAGAGCCTCAACCCCGCCTCGGGGCCCCTTGGGGCGGATGGAGGGCCGAGGCCTCTTTCCTCCCAACGCAGTGTTTATAAGAAATGAAACTGCACAGGGCATCAGCGGCAGCCCACACTGACACCCCGCTCCCCCACCGGGGTTCCGAACAGCCCAGAGCGCTGGAGCAATTCTCGGCCCACTCTTACATCGCAGGACCCCTAGTGCTTTCCCAGCCAGCTGCAGCCTCCCACTCTGCGTTTAGGATTCTTATAACAGCACAATGTTTATTCTGCTGTGTCATACACCATTTTTGACGGAGCTGCGAGAGGGGAGGGGCTAGTCTCGTGCCCCAGCACATCCCCAGGGCCAAACCTGTAGTTGACCCAGAGCAGGAATGCCATTCATATTTGTTGAATGAATTAAGAAACGACTTTCTTTATCTATAATTAGGCTCCTTTCAGCCAGGGTGATGACGCCTAGATTCTATCTTCAAGCTTTTTTTGCTTTCAGATTATTTTATGCCTAACTTTGTGTTCTGCACTTGATAGTTTAGGACTGCCTGCCTCCCAGGTTGCTGTGAAAATAGAGGATGGCTGGGAGGGACTTTTAGCATCTAAGAGAGCCCTCCCTCTGGACCTGGGAGGTGGAACGCCTGCTGGCGTTCATCTGCTTTGGGGACTGTGGCCTCTTCTCTGGGTAGCAGGAGCCACAGGGGCCCAGGGCTACCCTAGTCTCAAAACCCTAGTTAAAACCTTGCTGGGTGCTGTACTTCAGGATTAACTGGAACCCACCCAGGGGGTGAACACTGTGTTCTGAGACCCTGTGAGAGGGGGCTAGGGACATGATTTGTTCCACCGAGGAAGGTTTCCATAAAGGTGATCTTGCCCCCAGCAGCCTGATTCTGCCAGCCCAGAAAACCCCAGAGCCTAATACAGAGAAACTGCAATAAATTTACCCTCATTGAGTGATAGTATAGATGTGAGGTATCCTTTGAGTGAGACCCTGCTCCAGAGCTAACCCCCAGCTAACTCCAGCTGCAGTGTGAGGGACCCTCTCAGGTCTCTTGCAGAAAAATGCAGACTTTGGGACTTCCCTGGTGGTCCAGTGGTTAAGACTCTGCACTTCCACTGCAGGGGGCACAGTTCGATCCCTGGTCAAGGAACTAAGATCCCGCATGCTGTGTGGCATGGCCAAAAAAAAAAAAAAAAAAAACAGCAGACTTTGTTCCCCAGAAGGTCACCACCCAGAAGGTGATAAGTGGAGAAAAGAACACGTGAAAGTTAAGGGCTAGGGGGGTTTGAGGAGGGGAAGGATTTCTGGTTGGCTGCTTTGGAGGTGCTTCATAGAAGACCAGGCATTTGCTCCGGGCCTTAAAACAGAGACTGAAATTGAAGTGCGGCGGGGGGAATGAGAGGGGGAGAACTAAGACTGAGAGAGCAAGGGGGAATGGCAGGTGAGGTGAGTGTTGCTAAGTATCCTAGGAAGTCAGGGATGAGGAGCAAATGGAAGAAGCAAAGACGGGAAAAACACAAAGTGTGTTCAGAGAATGGAAATACAGTGAAAGGTTCATGCTTTACTGTGAACACATGTCCCTTGACTAACATTTTACAGTTTAGAAAGGAGTTTGATAGTCTATCTAATTTCATCTTTGTAACAATTAGGACAGATGTGCAGAGAGTACCTCTATTTTACAGAAGAGAAAACTGAGACCCAGAGAGGGACAGTAACCTGCCTAAGGTCACACAGCAAATGGCAAAGCACAAGAACACAGTTTTCAGACTCAAATCCCGTGTTCTCTTTCCACCGCATGAGACTCCTAGACTCTCTTTCCACCGCGTAGTTACTGCCAAGGGTAGGGGAGTTGTGGGAAAGAAGGTTGGGATGGGACCCTTGGGACCAGAGTTAGCAGTGAATTGAATGTGGGGCTAAGGAGTCTGAGGGAACCACAAGGCTCCTGTGTGGACCTGAATGCTAGGGAGATCATCAAAGTTAGGGAGATAAACCTAGTGCAGAGGTGCCTGGAGGGGCAGGCCTGACAGGGAGGGAGTCTCAAGGGGAGGCTGTGGCAACAATAGTCTGAACCTTAAATGTGAAAGCAGGACTTGATTCAGGCAAGGACGACCAGAAGACCAGGTGAGGCAAAGAGGGGAGGAGGATGGCAAAGACTTCACCAGAGAGGGAGCTGGAATTAGGAAGAGAGAAAGCTGCTGGGTCAGTGTGGAAGGGGGAGGTCAAAAGTTCTGCTTGCTTGTGTGTGAATCTGTGGATAAGGTTGTAGGGGAACACCCAGAAGGCAGCCAGAGTTTGGGTTTGGAGGTCACCTGCCCAGAGGGGATGGCTGGAATTACAGAAGATGAGTATTTTGAGTCAGACAGGGGAAAGGGCCAGCCCTGAATTACTAAGAGAAACCTGAAAAGAACAAGATATATTCTGTCCAGCTTCCCAAGGAATGTGTGATACATCTTAGAATGGGATTCATCAAGAACAGTTACAATAAAAATTTGAGATACTTAAACAGGGGTTAGCTTTATTTCACTGATTTGGAGTATAGCACCCCCAATCATCATAAGCAGATTCTTATAGACTTCAAGATTACATAAGAATCCCTAAAGTTAAAAGTAAAAAAAAAAAAAAAAAAAAAAAAAAGGCAAAGAACACTTCACAAATGTAAATGACAATTTCACTGGTAAATACTAACACTGGGGAATTTCTCCTTAGCAAAAAATTATGATGTGCGCAAAGATTTAGCTACACAGTGCTGTTTGTATTATGAAAAAATGGAAATAACCTAAATGTCCTACAATAGGGGATTAATTGGGTAAATTTTTATTTATCCTTATGATAGAATAATATGTACCCATTACAAATGATATTGCCAAAGTACATTTCATGACACAGAAAGATGCACATTATAGATATATATACAGATGGTTATGAACTAAAATAAAGTTCTTGTTTTAAAGCACTTTTTACACTCTCCTGTTGCCTTCACAGGGTCAATTCCTCAGACCACATGAAATGCAAACTTCATTTCCCTAATCTCACTCTGAATTCTCCAGTGGCTATGTCAGGTTCTTAGGGGTAGGACAAGCACCCAGTTGATGCACAGAGAACAGACTTCGCAACTCAGGAGCCACTTGTTTTCTGCTCTTCTTGCTCAGAAGGTCTTGGTTTCTATAGTGCATTCCCACTCCCTTCTGTCACTTAAAGCACCCCAACCCTTCTCCCCCCTTCCAGGGCCTCAGCACCTTCCATTTTGCTTAACACCCAGCTAGGCTCATTCCTCACAGTTTTCCTGCCTTTCTGCCTCTCCTGGCTCCTGCACCCATCAGTATCTGGGAGACAGCTCTGACCCATCCCTGTTGGTTTCCTGGGAACCAAGCTTGGTCTTAGTCACAGCATCAGATTCTGGTGCACCATTATTGGATTGACCCATCCATTTCCTCTGTGGGAAGGAAGCTCTAGTGTGACTGACAGGTGGAATGCTACATCAATGTGTCTGTTTATAGCCTGCAACATTGCAACTGGGTGCCACTATGGAGGGAGAGCTGGGGTGACAGGAGTGACACAACCAACCCGGCCTGGAAGAGTGATTTACCTCTGAATCAGCAGCTTGATGGGGTTGAAGGAAGAAGCCTGCTGTGCCAGAGTTCTAGACAGAAAAATTAACACTCAGCCCAGCGTCTAGAAGTACAAGTAGGTCAAGGTCTAGTTGTAAGCCCAAGAGTTAAATAGCTTCCATTCCCAAGGGGCCTGGGACCTGGGCTCCCCACTCCTTTGGCTAGACCCAAGACCTTGGTCAGACCTAAGCAATTCCCCCATGTTGCCCAGAATGTCTCTGGGCCAAGCTCTGAGGGCCCAGAGATGACACTAATGCTGCCACCGAGGGGCTCCCATGCAAGGGCCACAGGAGACTGCGGAGGTGGCCTAAGGCAAGAGTGCTAGGAGGAGCCAAGGTTAGCTCACACCCACCTCAACTCGGCAGTCCTGGCTTCTCTGAAGCCCTTCTCCCTTTGTGGGGCAGTCCCTAGGGTGTAGAAGGAGAAGCAGAAGGGGCCTCTCCCTGGTCACTATGAGACTCTGGGCAGGGACCTCGCAAACCACGCATCATCTGCTGCCCAAGTAGGGCAAGATGCTTTACAGACGCCATCTGTCACTGTAAACCAGCAAGGTAGGGCTATCGTTATTTTGTAGTTGAGGAAACCGGTCCCTAGTCCATTGGCAGGCTGCGCTAGCAGCGGCCAAGCTGGGATTTCCTCTTGTCCTGGCAGCCCCAAGCAGGGAAGCCTTTCCTTTACTTCTCCAGGGAAGGTGAATGACCTGGAGGTGGGTCATCCCTCAAAAAGGGGGCAGTTTGAGAGCCAAAACCCTCCCTTCTTCTTTTTTTTTTTTTTTTTTTGCGGTACGCGGGCGTCTCACTGTTGTGGCCTCTCCCGTTGCGGAGTACAGGCTCCGGACGCGCAGGCTCAACGGCCATGGCTCACGGGCCCAACCGCTCCGCGGCATGTGGGATCTTCCCGGACCGGGGCACGAACCCGTGTCCCCTGCATCGGCAGGCGGACTCTCAACCACTGCGCCACCAGGGAAGCCCAACCCTCTATTCTAGACACCCCATTAACGGGCTTGAGGAAGCAGGTTGGTTTTCCGGGGA